GCACGAAGTTGATGTATTTCCTCAGCGACCAGCACAGATCAGCTCCAGGCATGACGAAGCAGATATCGTCCTCTTTTGGAAGGCCAAACAAAATAGTTTCGCTTTCACAACGAAACACACAGTGTCTCCACAGCATGGCCACGGCGGCAACAGCGAGAATAAAAGTTACACCTTCTTTCTTTGCGTGAACATTTGGGCGGTTGGCTGCAGCAGTCGTAGCAAATAATACATCTGAAAAAGTAACAATACCATTGAGACATGCTGAGAGGCTCTTGACCTTCAGCCTCCACGTACCATTCAACATCTCTGAAAACCAGCAGATAAAGGCTAAAAAAAAAAAAAGTTTTCTGGTATCATCTGCAAAAAGTATATGCATCTTTTCTAGTATAATCATGGCCACTTTTCACAGTCTGATCAATTCCAGATCAGCTGGTTTTACTCTAAAATCCATCACATTATGCAAGTTAAATGGGCTGCGAGTCTGTTTCATGTTGACTTTAAGAACACAAACATTTATTATTCTCCAAAACTAGGGAATCCCTTCTGGCAATGAAAGAGTTTCTTCAGATGATTGGACGATTTCACAACCCGAGCCAATGCATCTAAATCTTTGGCATTCACACCCTTTAACTCTATCTGATGTTTTACCACAGCTATTCCAATGCTCTGTTCCAACTGTTCAGTCGAATCCAATCCGAGTTTGGTCCAATCAGGTGTTGGAGAAGAAACAGGGCTGGATGGAATATATAATGTGCGCGTGTATGTACATGTAATGGATGTGCACGACTCAATCGCTGTGCATGTCTTGCTGTTTATGGGGCCAAAGGTCCCAATAAGCCTTGATAGAGGAGAGCTGGTATCTCTGTGAGCGCTGGACTACATAACGAGGAGAGACAGGTGTGCGGCAGACCCTTGGCCCCACTGCGGCCCCTCAAAGGCCCCATGCTGGGAAGAGAGGTGGCCGTCCCTCTCCACACAGCCATTTATCTCAATTTCAGTCTGCTCGGCGTTCCCGGATCAAACAGCACTTAAACTAAATAACCCTGCTGGAATTCACCGGCAGACTCATCAACCTGAGATACATAAGCACACCTCACAGTGACCAAACCAGACAGTCACTGCTTCAGTTATACAGTACACCATCACTTGTGACTAAAAAGTCTCATAAAAAATTTTTTTTGATTATATATGCATATTAGAATGATTTCGGAAGGATCAGGTGACACTGAAGACTGGACTAATGGCTGCTGTAAATTCAGCTTTCCATCACAGAAATAAATTACATTTTAAAATATGTTCCAATAGAAAACAGTTATTTTAAATTGTAATAATATTTTACAATATTACTATTTTACTATATTTCTGATCAAATAAATATTTTTTTTAACAACCCTAAACTTTTGAACAGTAGTGTACGTATCAACATCTATTTAGTATTCAGCAACCTGACACGTTTAGATGAACGACAGTTATAAATATTCCACAGGAGTTAGGAAATCATAACTGAGGTCATTTACATATAAAACAATAGTCTGAAGTGGCAAGAGAAAAAAAGTAGTCCAAATGCCTCTTGCTCAATTCCAAGTCTCCTAAGCCAAACAATAGCTTTGAGTGAGGAACAAACCTGTATTTTAGCTAAATGTATTTGTTAAGATACAGGTTTGATGTTTGATGCCAAGCCCCATTGGTTCCTGCACCAAAAAACGGTGTGCCAGTTTGCAGGAAAATTACATTTGACAGCTGCAGCAGAGAAAACCAAATAACTAAATTTGTAAATTGTCTTCACACAAAGCTATCACATGACTTCAGAAGACTTGCAATATAGCCAAACATACTATGGACTCTTTTTATGTCTTTTTTACGGCCTTGAAAAAAAAAACTACTTTTCCATATTAAAAAAAATGAACAGCATATGATTTTGGAACAACATCAAAATTTTAATTTCTTATCGCTTTAATTCTAAAGGTCACCGAAGGGGGAAAATAGTCAGGAAACTACATTTAGACTGTTTCAGGTGCAAGACACCTTGACTAATATTATAAGTGGCCTTCTAAGGGAAAAAATAAACTGCAACAAAAGTAGAATATGGTCCATTTAAATAATTTCCTGGCTTTTGAAGCATGCGCCTCTTTAATGGACAGCGAGGGCATCTAATGCCAGTATGTTGGCGTGGTGATGGTGTTGGCATTGTGCTTTTGTTCGCTGGAACGCTTTCAGAGAGGAATAAAAAGGTGAAAATCTATTTAGTGGCTTTGCGCCATACCTAAAGTGTCAAAGCGTGAACAGAATGCCGGTGTGCGCGAAAAGAGACATAAAAATAGAGAAAATGCAGATGACAGAGGAGGCAGATCTGGTGTTATGCACACTGGCAGGTAGTGTATCAGAAGCCAAGGGTGGTTGTACTAATAGTTCTAAATACACCCCATGATGAGCTATTAGAAGAGGCTTTTTGTGAATGTGATAAATAAATCCTCTTTAGTCAGTGTGACAGTAATCCCAGAGCCCCCGTGCCTCCGTTCCTTACCAATCCATCAAGCGGCGCCTGCATATAATCAGCGCCGCATATTTCTCAAATGCATTTCCGCTACAAAGACTTCCCCAAACACGCATCTCTGGAAACTTCCAGCATGCCTGGTCTCGGAGGAATACATGAAACTTCATTTCCCACGATGCCTTGTTTCATCTTCAGAGGTTGGAAATCAGTGAGAGGCACAATGAAGGGCACTTCTGGAAAGGGGCATCGTTTATCAGAGCTATAAGCAATACGGCTCGTCTTACTAAGCCTATTACGTATTGGATTTCTGTTGCTGTGGCATAATTTATTTGAGCTGCCGTGGCTCAAAAGCAATAATACTTGTTTTTGATCAATTAAGAATGTCTTTGTGAAGGCGAAATACTCACTTGGGGTTGCTCACTGAATTAAAAAAAACGCCAAAGATGTAATTCTACCTCAGATGATCAAAAAAGAAAACATACATGCATGAGGAAAAATCTAAGTGTTCATTGTTCATTTCTAGAACGATAGTCGGGGGAAAAAGAGAGAGAAAATGACTCAAACCGACTATGGTAAGCACAGTTTCTGCCAAAATTGTAGCTACTGTAAAATAATGAGTTTTTTGTCCTTTTAAAAGCCTTGAAAGACATAGTCAAAGATGTAATTCTACCTCGAATGAACAAAAAGAAAACATACATGCATGAGGAAAATCTAAAAGTGTTCATTGTCCATTTCTAGAATGATAGTTAGGGGAAAAGACAGGGAAAAGGACTCTGTGTTGACACAGCTTCTGACAAAACAGTTACTGCAGCTACTGTAAAATAATATATTTTTGTCCTTTTCAAATCCTTGAAAGACAGTCAAAGATGTATTGCTACCTTGAATGAACAAAACAAAAAAAACACCAATGAGGAAAAAAATCTTAAAGAATAATATACATTTCTAGGCTGGTAGTGAGAGGACACCTTACAAAAACTGACTATGGTAAGTAACCACAGTTTCTGCCAAAACAGCTACTGTAGCTTCTGTAAAATAATCATAAATAAATCTGGTGTCTCCTTTAAGCAGTGTAAGAAGATCCAGAATATTTCACTTGTAAAAATAAAGGTTCCAAAAAGGGGTTTTCGCAGCGATGCCATAGAAGGACATTTTTTGGTACCCCAAAGAACCTTTCAAGTGAACTGTTCTTAAAAGAACCTTTTTTTGTGTTAGAGTGAAAAACATTTTAATAATCTGATTAACCTTTTTTCACTATAAAGAACCTTTTGTGGAATGGAAAGATTTCATAGATGTTAAAGCTTAATGGAACCATCAATGCCAATAAAGAACCTTTATTTTTAAGAGTGTTCTGTTGGTTCATTTATTTTTTGGTGACTGATATCAATGCAGCGTTCATGTTGTGTCTGAATTACAGTATATAAATGTAAACGCTCTGCCCTAAGCTGTTAATTTCTTAGAAATGATTGGTTTCTAATGTGCATAAAGGCTGAAATGGATCCATATTATTGTTGGTGATGACAGCAAATACTTGATTACTTCATAAATGTACATCTATATTCTCATGCAAATCATTGAAGAATGTACAATTAAGACAAAAGTAACTCCAGATAACAGTGACTATATTAAAACAACATCGAATGGAAATTTTGGGGTCATTACATTTTAAAAAAAGAAATGTATAGTTTTATTTAACGAGGACGAATGAAATGGGTCAAAAATGACAATGAAGACAATTACATTGCAAAATATTAATACAATTTTAAACAAATGCTGTTCTTTTGAACTTTATATTCTTAAATAATCTTGAAAAAATGTATCAGTTTACACAAAGATATTAAGCAGCAGAACTGTTCAACATTGATAAGTAATGCTACATAAACAGCATTTCAGCATATTTTATTGCTTTCAGATTTCTTATCAAAATTCAGCTTTACCATCACAGAAATAAAATACATTTTAAAATATATTATAATAGAAAAACATTTTAAAATTGAAATATTTAGAGAAAAAAAAGTACTGTATTTTTATCAAATAAACGCAGCCTTTCAAAAATTGTTACTGACCCCAAAATATTTTAATGTTATTGTGTATTTACATTACTTTACATTAATTCTGCATTTTCAAATTATGTGTTTAACAAAGATGAGCTGCTTGTAAAACAGTCTGACATTACTGTATTTTTGACATGACATGAACGCAGCACACCCTTTGCATTAGTAGCTATACCTATACCAGCATTCTGGAAGAAACTACAGTGACCATGGTTAAAAAAAAAAAAAAGAACAATTCTAAGATCAAGGACAAGGACAGTGTTAATAAAAACTTTGGGAGGAAGCTATAAATCACTGAATCTGTATCATCTATACTGTACAATACAAATGTTATTTGTCTGTGACAATGTGTGTGAGTCTGGAGTGCTGTTGAAATGTCTGGTGTATGTGCAGATGATCTGTGACTTCTATTGGCTCCAGCTGTACTGAGAGATGTGGTAGAAGGGATGGATTACCATGGTGATGAGGTATGTTGTTGCCCTCCAAGGTGGAGTGTCTTGGGCCTAGTGGCGGAGCAGGAGCTTGCATTAGCAGACCTCTCCCAGTATGGCTCGCTGTGGAGAAATGTGGAAAAGCTCTTAACGGCCGTAATGAGGGAAACATCAGCACCCAGAATGACCCAGAATTCTCACAGATTATGAGTACAACTTCAATGAGGCAAACATTTCAAAAACAATTACATATACTTGATAAACTGAAATATAATATAGAACAACAGAACGACAGACAGAACGATAGATAGCTAGAATGATAGAACAATAGACAGAGACAGACAGACAGACAGACAGACAAGATAGATAGATAGATAGATAGATAGATAGATAGATAGATAGAACAACAACAACAGACAGAACGATAGAAAGAACAATAGATAGGAGGATAGAAGGATAGGTAGAACGACAGACAGACAGATAGATAGATAGATAGATAGATAGATAGATAGATAGATAGATAGATAACTTTTTATGAAAATGACGAATTTGTTGTAATGTAAAAATAATGGTCTCGGATAATAATGAAAAATGGCACTATATATGCAATGTAAAATGAAATTAATTAGAAATGTATTTTCTTTTGATGTTTTCTGCTGTTAGTAACCAGTATGAGAAATATTTACACCACAAAGCATATATTCTATTCATTTTGATATTTGAAATACAAATAAAGCAGCATATAAGTTTACATGTTGATAATTGAGAAAGCAGTTTGAGTGCTGCATTACACGCTGTAGCTCCGCCTTACTCAATCATTGCCAGACTCTAGAATGTTTACTGACTGATGTTAAACATGTATTTTTTCAAAACAGTAGTTTAACATTAACAAATTTTCCGGGTTATTGATTTGGGGCAATGCAACTGGCTCGTCTGGGGCGTGATGCACTACAGATAACGGGTGGCATTCTAATTGCTCTGCATAAACGGCCTCATTCACGCATTTATCTGCAGCACTCAAACACTAAAGAGCTTTTATTTGTTAAGGGCTCTTCATGATCCCTGTTAAACACCGGAGGTTGCTGCAGGATGAATGGGGAGGAATTGAAAGGCGAGGTTTTAACGGTAAAGGATTGATATCAGACGGGGTGAACGCGGCCGCGCTCCTCTCTCTCTATATCTCCTCTAGATTGATGCCTTGCAATTTACAAACTTCTACGGGCCACAATTCATTTAGCACAATAAATTCCCTGCAGGTATGGAGAGTGTCGCCATTCTACCACCAACTGAATGAAAACACCTCCACACGCAACGCTCTGACACACACACACACTCACCTACACATAAAGCACAGTGTCTCCATGGCCCAATGTAGGCCCATTTTGATTTTGTTTCATGGCCGTAAAGGCACTGTATATTGCAGACAGCGGCAGAAGATTTGGTCCATTTTTCAAAGCTGACTATATTACCCCTGCACCACGCATTCTCTTTAAAAAAAGACCTTTTTTCCCCACATGTTGGGAAAACTAATCCCCATCTGGTGCATTGTACTCTATAAAATGCTCCGACGTGGCCTTTCTGTGATTTCCAGGGAATCGGCGATATGATTGAAAATGTGTCAGTTTTGTAAGCAGGCCTGCTCCGGGTGCACGTACAAAACAGCACCGCTGACCCTGACGCCGTCTCAATCGCGTCAGACTTCCTGTGCACGCTAAATCCTGGTCCTGTGTGACTCCTTGACAATCCTACAAGCTGGAGAGAGGTGCTGGATACGTTCTCCTGCTGTTTTGGTACAGTGATTATTTTTTTCCAACAACAAAATTAGGGATATCGGGTCCGATACTGCGCTCCTGTACTCGTACTCATAAAAATGCCCCGATACCAAACAGCGTGTGAATAGAGCTGTGTCCAGAAAAAGAAACACTGAAAACAGAACAACAGAGAGTAGAATGGAGTTATTAGAGATTAAGGATGTCTATGAAGTACATGTAAGTAATTAATATAATGTTAAACATTCAATATTCACGCCTGTATATCGAATGTGCCCGAGCTGATAAGCAGAGCGCGCTGAGTGGATTTTGAGCGCGCGGCTGCACAGATGCGCAAGCTTGTCGAGTGAATATCTCACAGACATCACTGGAAAGTTTGTAGTTCGGTCGGATATGTCAAAAGCAAGTAAGTAAAACAATGCACAAGTTACTAAAGTTATTTGACGGTAAGGAGAGCGAGCAAGAGAGAGAGAGAGTCCGAGAGCACGCACTTCTGTTGCATGATCTTGATTGCTGTTCGCTCCATTACCGCATGCGGATTAAAACTAAATTGCTGCAATGGAGCAGCTCTAATGCGCCATTAAAATTAACAGTGAAAGTAACAAAAGCTTATACAATACATTTTAACAGGTATAATTTAGTGTGGAAATAATTGAAGGTAATATCTGTTTGCTAAATGAAGCCAACTAACATGATTCATATTATTATTATTATTATTATTAGTTACTATTATTTTGTTTCTGTACCCAATATTTAAAAAAATATTTTACAAATGCTGTGAAAATACAGGTATTGGTGAGTACCAAAAATGAAAGTATCGGTCTCGTTCTGAAAAAAGTGGTATTGGTGCATCCCTAATACTCATATATTTTATAGATGGATTGATTGATGGATGGGAGGATAGATAGATCATATAATGTATAATATGATGTGATAATTATAATATTTCTTAAGCAGCAAATCAGCATATTAGAATGATTTCTGAAGGATCATGTGACACTGAAGACTGGAGTAATTGGCGCATCCCTAAACAAAATGAATTATTTGTTGATTTCAATGGCATTTTAGAAGGTACCATGTTATGAAAGCCCGTTTCCACCACGGAATTAAAAAAAAATCTTTTTAATCTCATAATTTTGACTTTTGTCCTCGCAATTCAGAGGTTATATCTTGCAATTCTAACTTTTTTTGTTTTAATTGCAAGATATAAACTGAAAATTCCAAAATATAAACTTACAATTCCGAGAAAAAAAAAAATCTGACTTGTACAACTAAAGTCTGAAAAAAAGTGAACTGAGTTTATAACTCACAATTTTGACTTTTTTTGTCATAATTGTGAGCTTGTACCCTGCAATTCAGGGTCTATATCTTACAATTCTGAAAATAAAAAAAGTCAGTTAGCTTACCCGTTTTATTTATATTTTATTCTGTGGTGGAAATGGGTTTCCATACCATGTGGCCTGATTGGTAAGATTTTGGACATTGTAAATAAAATGCAATGCCCATTGTGTGAAATTGAAAAACAGTCAGAAGCTATTCATCTGACACATATTTATTAGACCAATAATTAAAAGAAGAAACTGCAAAGCACTCAAATTTGGAACAAATCTGAACTAACAGGCTGGGGTGCGTTTCACATGTTTCGCATCGTTAGCCAACTATGGTCGCAAATTCTGTCATTACCAACATAGTTCAACAATTTGGTGTTTCCCGAAACCATAGTTCAAAGGAACATTCGCAATCAGTGTCGCAAATTTACGTGGTTGGAACTACAGCTCTCGACCTGTGGTTAGAAGCAAAGTTTCTTGTTATTAAGACATATGGGCTTAAATAAATTATGCTCTTGGGCACAATAAACAAGCTAACATGCAGTACAATCTACAGTATATATTCCATTCTATCTAATGTAAATGCATTTGAATCGATGTATTTTAGCACGTCCTCAATAAGCGCTGTTTTTGAAGAGTGCGCATGTGCACAAATACCTAAGGGAACCTCAGAGTATGACGTAAGAGGGAACCCGCAATGAATCAAACATCAAATAAAACAAAATGACAAGGAACAAAAAATAGTAAATAGTCATCAGGTGCCATGTTCAATACAGCAGCATCTTAGAGATGTCTAATCAGTTAAATAGCAGAAGTTATTCCTCCACCACATGCGTGTGACGTCATTAACAATGGCCCTATATTGTTGAACTAATGTGGTTTAAACGACGGAGATGCGACTGTTTTCGGGAAACAGTCGTGACTAGCTAGTTCGTTTCCACAACAATGCATTGTACTATGTTGTAGGGCTGTGCAATTAATCGCATGCGATTGTCATGTTCATCTCATCAGTAAAGACGGTTCCGTGATTAGTAGTAAATCTCCATCACCTGCTTTCAGATGGAGCGGCATTTACTACACAGAGCCGTAGTTCACTGACAAGCTAGGCAATATCGCGTTCATAATCGCAGATGAATCGCATTAGATTATAAACGTGATATTGCCTAGCTTGTCAGTGAACTACGGCTCTGTGTAGTAAATGCCGCTCCATCTGAAAGCAGGTGATGGAGATTTACTACTAATCACGGAAACTACTAATCACGGAACCGGCTTTACTGACGAGATGCGCTTGACAATCGCATGCGATTAATTGCACAGCCCTACTATGTTGGTTAATTAGCAAGTTACGTCGTTGTACAGGAAACGCACCCCTGGTTAGCATGCTAGCTAAGAGAAAAAGCAGAACAAGAAATGTTTAATTTGACATTTATAGCTTCAGTTATTTAATATGATTGTAAACATTATTTAAAAGTCATATTCATTATATCAGATAATATAATAAAGCGATATTGTAAGATAAATCAATTTGCACAATACTGACCTAAAGGCTAATTCACACAGTCACAATAAACTGCAACAAACAACAAATTCTCGACATCAATCACATACTGTACCAGCCTTGTTACTGTTAACTAAAATTAAAACTAAAACTTCTTAAAAAAAAACATTTTGTTATAAATAAAATATAAATATTAGATTGAAAATTAAAAATGTTGCCTTGGAAGCTGAATATAATGTAAGAAAGTAAATAAACTGAAATAAACTGAAAAACTGAAACTGAAATAAAGTAAGTTTAAGTACCAAAAAAAAATTAAATAAAAAATAATCCAAAAAATAAATAAATTTACAGATCACAAAAGACAATAAAATGAGTAAATCTTTCAAATTAAACCTAAAAAAAATGATTTTTTTTTAATCTAATTCAAAATAGTAGGCTATATACAGTAAATAGTACCGAAATAACACCACCACTAACCCTAATGCCGTTTCTGATTGTTTCTGATTTCCATCAGATGCTAAATCCCTG